AATATAGCATCCTCAGGATTCTGGGGCCTCCCTCCTCCTCCTGTGTACTTCTCTTGCTTCTTCTTTTTTTTTTTTTTTTTTTTGAGACAGAGTCTTGCTCTATCGCCAGGCTGGAGTGCAGTGGTGTAATCTTGGCTCACTGCAACCTCCACCTCCTGGGTTCAAGCGATTCTTCTGCCTTAGCCTCCCAAGTAGCTGGGACCACAGGCACGTGCCACCATGTACAGCTATTTTTTGTATTTTAGTAGAGACGAGGTTTCACCATGTTGGCCAGGATGGTCTCGATCTCTTGACCTCGTGATCTGCCCGCCTCGGCCTCCCAAAGTTCTGGGATTACTGGCGTAAGCCACTGCGCCCTGCCACTTCTCTTGTTTCTAAGGGTCTCTGCTGTTGGCCTTTTCCACCATCACTTGCTGTTGGCAGCTGTATCTCAGTTACTAGCTGCCTCTGGGTTTAGTTGCCATGGTAACCTCCAGTGGTGCAGCTGGACAGGCTTGAATGCAGGCAGGATAAATGCAGGATAAGGGTAGAAGATGCCGGGTTGATGCTCCTGGTGGTCCTCTCCTGTTACAGGGCCCTCTTCTTTGTCCAGCTCAACTGGGCATTCATGAAGACCCTGGGGGCTCTACTTGTTACTGAAGAGTTGGCCAGAAGGGGCAGAGATGGACCCCTGCTCTGGGAACCAAGTGCTGGGGAGAGTGCCAGGTTGAACCTGGAGGCTGGCTGCCCATCCTTGTTCTGAGTCTAGTCTATGGAAGCCCATGAGGAGCAGCTATAGGGTTCCTACTTTCTGTGGCTATATGGCAGACGCACCTGTATATGGTAGCTGCACCTGACAGCAATAACTTAAGCCTACTCTGAAAATGACCCTGTCATTTAGGCATAAATGACATTTTCAGAGTAGGCTTAAGTTATTAAGGCAGATGCACCTGAATATTAGGAGTGCCAAACAATGACAACCTGGAGATTCATTCCTTACCCATGAGGAATATCTGAGCCCCCATCCTGTCCTGTGACTGTACAGGGGATTGAGGCCTTTTGTTTTGGGTTAAACCACAGTTGTTAAAGGAAGGTTTTTAAGTTAAAATGCTATATATACGGCATGCTTTCTGCAGGCGGGGCAGTTGTATCTAGCTCTCCTCCACTGGACTGCTCTGTATCAATCCTATGTCTTGTTTGCTGGCTCTGGATCACTTTTGGTCCCTCGAACTTGGTGCCATCCCTACTGAAGTTAATAGGATTCTGATGGCTGGGCACAGGCTCATGCCTATAATCCCAGCAGTTTGGGAAGCTGAGGTGGGTGGATCGCCTAAGTTCAGGAGTTCGAGACCAACTTGGCCAATGTGATGAAACCCCGTCTCTACTAAAAACACAAAAATTAACCAGGTGTGGTGGCGTGCACCTGTAGTCCCAGCCACTCTGGAAGCTGAGGCAGGAGAATCGCTTGAACCCAAGAGGCGGAGGTTACAATGAGCAGAGATAGTGCCACTGCACTCCAGCCTAGGTGACAGAGCAAGATTCTGTCTCAAAAAAAAAAAGAAAAGAAAAGAAAAAAAGTGGTTTACACCTGTAATCCCAGCACTTTAGGAGGCGGAGGCAGGCAGATTACCTGAGGTCAGGAGTTTGAGACCAGCCTGGCCAATATGGTGAAACTTCATCTCTACTAAAAAAAATAAAAAAGATACCCATGGTGGTGTATGCCTGTAATTCCAGCTACTTGGGAGGCTGAGGCAGCAGAATCGCTTGAACTCAGGAGGCAGAGGTTGTGGTAAGCTGAGATTGTGCCATTGTTGCCCTCTAGCCTGGGCAACAAGGGCAAAACTCTGTCTCAAAAAAAAAACAATTAGCTGGGCTTGGTGGTGGGCACCTGTAGTCCCAGCTACTCGGGAGGCTGAGGCAGAAGAATTGCTTGAATCTGGGAGGCAGAGGTTGGAGTGAGCTGAAATCATGCCAGTGCACTGAAGCCTGGGTGACAGAGCGAAACTTGGTCTCAAAAAAGACAAAAGGCCAGGCGTGGTAGCTCACACTTGGGTGGTTAACAAGGTCAGGAGTTCAAGACCAGCCTGGCCAACATGGTGAAACCCTGTCTCTACTAAAAAAAAAAAAAATTACCTCAGCATGGTGGCGGGTACCTGTAGTCCCAGCTACTTGGAAGGCTGAGGCAGGAGAATCACTTGAACCTGGAGGCAGAGGTTGCAGTAAGCTGAGCTCGCACCACTACACTCCAGCCTGGGTGACAGCACTGGGCGTGGTGGCTCACACCTGTAATCCCAGCACTTTGGGAGGCTGAGGCAGGCAGATCACCTGAGGTCAAGAGTTTGAGACCAGCCTGGCCAAGATGGTGAAGCCCTGTCTCTACTAAAAAATACAAAGTTACCCGGGCATGATGGCATGCACCTGTATTCCCAGCTAATCGGGAGGCTGAGACACGAAAATCACTTGAACTCAGGAGGTAGAGGTTGCAGGTTGCAGTGAGCTGAGATTGCACTATTGCACTCCAGCCTGGGTGACAGAGTGAGATTCTGTCTCAAAAAAAAAAAAAAAAAAAAGTGATTTGGTACAACAATGGCCCTCATTCCTTTTAGGATGCCTTTTGAATCCTCTTTGCTTTGGTGGTTGGATGAACTGTGGGGCATCTGAGAACAAGTCAGGTTGACTGGCCTGCTTCAGGCAGAAGCCAATAGGAGTTCCTTGGAGCAACTTGGAAAACTCACCCATACTCTGCTGTGAGCCCTGGGAGTGGCCTTTCTCTTCTCCATTTTGTTTTGTTTTGTTTGAGATGGAGTCTCACTCTGTCATCCAGGCTGGTGTGCAGTGGCGAGATCTTGGCTCACTGTAGCCTCCGCCTCCCAGGTTCCAGCGATTCTCCTGCTTTAACCTCCCGAGTAGTTGGGATTACAGGTGCCGACCACCACACCCAGCCAATTTTTGTATTTTCAGTAGAGATGGGTTTTCACCATTTTGGCCAGGCTGGTCTCAAACTCTTGACCTTGTGATCTGCCTGCCTTGGCCTTCCAAAGGCTGGGATTACAGGCGTGAGCCACCGCACCCGGCCTCTCTCCTCTTATTTTGTAATCGAGGTCGAAGTCTTAACTATACAGGTGCCAATCTCCCTTTAAAACATATAAAACATAAAACCAGCAGGCCTGGTGGCTCATGCCTGTAATCCCAGCACTTTGGGAGGCCAAGATGGGCTGATCATGAGGTCAGGAGTTTGAGACCAGCCTGGCCAACATGGTGAAACCCCATCTCTACTAAAAATACAAAAATTAGCTGGACGTGCTGGCGTGTGCCTGTAATCCCAGCTACTCGGGAGGCTGAGGCAGGAGAATTGTTTGAACCCTGGAGGCGGAGGTTGCAGTGAGCTGAAATCATGCCATTGCAATCCAGCCTGGGAGACAGAGCAAGACTGTGACTCAAAATAACAACAACAACATATAAAACCTGACAATATGGGCAAACCAGGGAACGGAGTTGTAAATTTGCCTTTCCAAAAGGTTGGCTAACGGATTGCTTGAAAAGGGGCAGATCCCTAGGTGTGGCAGTACCATGAAAGTCACACCTAGGTTTTCTGGATATTGTGTCAAGGCTGATCCCTGCAAGACTTGGATCAGTCTACCCAAGAGCAGAGAAGAAGTGAGGGACACTACCCCTCCAGCTCCACATTGCTTGTCCTTAATGGGGTCTTGGTATTCTGAGATACAGCTTTAAAGCAGGGGGTCCCAGCTGAGACTATGAGGTCAGGAGAGCAGTTTCATTGGCTCTGCTTGCTGTATCAAGATTTACCATTTAGCCAGTAGACCTTTTCTAAGAGTATGCAATAAGGACTGAGCAGGAAAAAAGTTGGAGACTGCCTCTCCCCTCACAAAGTTGATGATCCAAGATTCTTCTCAGGGGTCAAGAAACTTGTCCAGGGAGACACTGCTATTTATAATCACAGGCCTGCTTAGCCTAGAGCCTGGGCTGACCTCTGCATCAGTGGGGATGAGGTGCTCCTTGCTCCCAGTTGCTCAGCTCCCAGCAGCATTGAGCTCCTGGGTGTGTGCCAAGCCTGTATGGGAGGTGCTAGGGAGGATTTTAATTAATACTGGGTAATTACCAGGTGGTGTTTAAGCATCCCAAATGCCTTCAGGTTCCCAAACCTACAGCTACTGTCTTCCTGCCTGGGCCTGGAAAGGAGAGGGGGGGACTCTGCCCTGTGCCCAGTGGGCCTTTTGGTTAGCACGTAGGCTGTGGTCTGATATCCCAGGAAGGTCTTCATCTTTTTTAACTCCCTTCCAGTTTGGAAGGAGGAGGAGAGCAATTTGGGAAATAGCCTGGCCTCTGCAGTTCACTTATACCATCTCCCCAGGGGCAAAGGATAACAACACTTTGTGGTCTGCTCAACTTCATCAAGCAGTGTTGGCCTAGGGTCCAGTGTAGTGTGTGGGGAGAGGAGTGGGCAGACCTAGACCTGTGGACCCTGGTGAGAGTGCTCCAGGAGGAACAGGCACAGAAGTCTTTCCTGCTTTTGGCCTTACTTCCCTTTCTCACTGTATTCATTTGGCTGAGTGAACTCTTTCAAATTTATTTTCTGCCAGTGGCTCTCAAATTATGATGTCACTGAAACGCCTACTTCCTACAAGGCCTTCCGCATTTGACGTCTCAGAGACCTGCCAGACTCCTGAGTTAATTCACCATTCCACCTGGCAGCCACGGGAGTCCTGACTCCACCAGGCCTTTGCTCTTGTTCTATGTTCAGATAGCTTTCCTCCAGATCTTCGCCTGGTCGGGTCCTGCTCAGGCCTCAGGGCCAGCTTGAATGTCACCCCTGAAAGTGAGCCCTCTCTTGCCCTTCATCACAGCAGAACCACACTGAGGTGCTCATATGTTTCTGCGTCTCGCTGTGTCTCTGGTGCTAAGTGCCAGCAAACAGGAGACTCTTGGCATTTACTGAAAGAATAATTTAAAGGTCTTCAGGACCAGGCGAGAGGCACTAATCGGTCCTCTTCATGGGTAGACCATTCATTACTTAATTCCCTGGATTCCCGCTGGGAGCTGGCAGCTGGAACCCTCCACTGCCTTGACCCCCCGACAGTCCAAGGGGCGGGCCGCCCAGTGGCGCAAGCGCAATGAGGGCCGGTCCTAGGCGGGGACGCGCACGTCCGCGGACGCGTGCGACACAACCAGGGTGCCCGCCCCGCTCGTCCCCCTCGCCTGCCCGTCGGTCCCCGCGGCGGCAGCGGCTGCCCAGTGACAGCGGCGGCGGTGCCAGGCCGGCCGTGGTAGCGTAGGGTTGCACCGCCCGGAAACGCAGAGCCGGCCAAAGAGCCGCGCGACGCGAGGAAGGCCGAGCCTGGGCCGCGCGCTTAGAGACCTTGCGGGCGGGGAGCAAAAGGCCGACGTGAGTGAGCGCGGAGACAGTGGCCGCAGGCGGCCCAACCCGTCCGTCCCCTCAGCCGCCGCCGGCATGAGCCACATCCAGATCCCGCCGGGGCTCACGGAGCTGCTGCAGGGCTACACAGTGGAGGTGCTGCGACAGCAGCCGCCTGACCTCGTCAAATTCGCGGTGGACTACTTCACCCGCCTGCGCGAGGCCCGTGCCCCTGCCTCAGTCCTGCCCGACGCCACCCCACGCCAGAGTCTGGGCCACACCACGCCAGAACCCGGCCCAGACCACGTCGCCGACGCCAACGGGGACAGCGAGTCGGAGGAGGACGAGGACTTGGAAGGTAGGCTGTGGGCGGGGCCCTGGGGAATGGTGCAGGAGATCTCCAGAGGTCTAGAGGGGTGGCGGGGGGCCGGTTGTCGCGCTGGGGGCCAGCCGACTGCGGGCTGAGACTGGGAGCTTCTAGCGCTTCCCTGAGACACCGGCGTGAGCCCGCGTGCGCCACTTCCAAACTGAGTTCCGCGGTCCTGCGAGCCCTGGAACGTACCGAGTCAGATTCAGTCTTGAAGGAAACCTGCGCGTTGTCGGCCCCGCCAGAGGATCCCTCACCTTGTCTTGAGACACTTCACCAGGTTTGGCTTCGAAGACAAGAGCATTCACATCCAGTGACTCGTGTTTAATTGATAGGACAGTAAGTTTGTTTGGAAATAATTCATTTTTTTGAAAAGTTACTGTGAAAACTTTTAAACATAGATAAAAGAGGAAAGGTGAGATAAATCCCTCTATGCCATCACCTATATTTAACGGTCGTATTTGTCACAAAGTTTCATCTATACCTTTTTTTCTTTCTTTGCCAAAGTTCATTGAAGCAAATCTCTCAGGTCATTTCACTTCTGCTTACTTGAGTATGTATTTCTTAAAATATGGTACCTGGGAAATTCCTATTTTAAAAAATTTGGCCAAAATGATTGAATCAAATTTGGCGAGAGTAAATAATTATCTTGCCAGCCGGGGCAGTGGGGCCCTGTAGTCCCAGCTACTCTGAAGGCTGAGGGAGAGATATCCCTTGAGTCCAAGAGTTGGAGACCAGCCTGGGCAAAATAGACACCCTACTCCACTTTAAAAAAGGAAAAACCTGGCCAGGTGTGGTGGCTTACTCCTGTAATCCTAGCACTTTGGGAGGCGAGGCCTGTGGATTACCTGAGGTCAGGAGTTTGAGACCAGCCTGACTAACATGACGAAACCCTGTCTCTACTAAAAATACAAAAATTAGCTGGGTGTGTGGGGTGGGGGTGCCTGTAATCCCAGCTGCTGAGGAGGCTGAGGCAGGGAGAATCGCTTGAACCCGGGAGGTGGAGGTTGCAGTGAGACAAGATCATGCCACTGCACTCCAGCCTGGGCGACAGAGCAAGACTCTGTCTCAGAAAAAAAAAGGAAAAACCCAATAACTATCTTCTTGTTTACTCTGGGTTGTAGCTTTAAAGCAAAGGATCCCAGCTGAGACTGTGAGGTCAGGAGAGCAGCTTCATTGGTTCTGCTTGCTGTGCCAAGATTTATCATTTAGTAATAGTAAACCTTTTTCAAGAGTATGCAGTAAGAACTGAGCAGGAAACAAGTTGGAAACTGTCCCTCTCCTCACAAAGTTGGTGATCCAAGATCATCACACTTTTTTTTTTAAGACAGGATCTCAAAAAAAAAAAAAAAAAATGTATCTCACTCTGTTACCCAGATTGCAGCATAGTGGTACAATCAGGGCTCAGTGTCAAGATTTATTATTTAGTAGTGGTCAGTAAACCTCCAAGAGTATGCAATCAGGACTGAGTAGGAAACAAGTTGAGAGTGTCCCTCCCCTCACAAAATTGATGATCCAAGATCATCACAGCTATTTTTTTTGAAAGACAGGATCTCGCTCTGTTACCTGGGCTGGAGTGTAGTGGTGCAATCAGGGCTCACTGCAGCCCCAACCTCCTAAGCTCAAGGTATTCTCGCACTTTGGCCTATCACGTAGTGGGGACTATAGGCATGTGCCACTACAAAGTGCTTGGCCTCCCAAAGTGCTGGGATTACAGGCAAGAGCTACTGTTCCTGGCCAAAATAACACTTTCTACATCTGATCTAAGCAAGGGTGTTAAGAAACAATTAGAGTTTCCTTGTTTCTTCAACATATGCTTTGTCAATTTAAGAGTAGAATTGGCTGGGCACGGTGGCTCAAGCCTGTAATCCCAGCACTTTGGGAGGCCGAGGCAGGTGGATCACGAGGTCACGAGATCGAGACCATCCTGGTCAACATGGTGAAACCCCATCTTTACTAAAAATACAAAAAATTAGCTGGGCATGGTGGCGTGTGCCTGTAGTCCCAGCTCCTCAGGAGGCTGAGGCAGGAGAATTGCCTGAACCCAGTAGGCGGAGGTTACGTTGAGCCGAGATCGTGCCATTGCACTCCAGCCTGGGTAACAAGAGCGAAACTCTGTCTCAAAAAAAAAAGAGTAGAATTAGCCTACTTTTGAACAACTAAAATTTAACAAAACAATGACACCATTTGAGAGGCCAAGCTAGAATCTTAGTGTTATCAGATCACACACACAAAACTAGTTCTGAGTTGTATCTGGTCTGGCCTAGTATTCAAGTTACTGTTGGCTGACAAGGAGTTAATTAACGGTCATTGCTGTGGGAGGTTACAAGCTTCAGTGCACTGGAGGATCTTCCTAAAGGTATTCATGCTAAAAGAGTAACAGTTGTGCTTCCCATGTGCTTCCCATCAAAACAACAGTTTTCCTTGATTTATTGCCCATTACATCATGGGTTTTTGGGAAATTAGAAATTACTTTCTAAACTCTGCCACTGAGTTTGCTTTGTGGTCTTGGACAACTTGTCAAACCTGTTTGATCTCAGATTTTCTTTTCTTCAAAATGAGGACAATGACAACAATCTCCTAGGGATAAATGTGTTTTTAAAAGCTTTATTTCAGGAGTGAATTCTAGGTTTGTTTCACTGACATCTCTATAAATCACAAAGCAGTAACCTGCTTAGAGACAATTTTTATTTACACAACACTTTAGGATTTTAGAAATTAGCCTCAAATGAGTAAAACAGTTTACAGGTTTTTGTATTCATTCTTTGTCATCTTTGATATTCAAAATTGAGTTGACTTAAAATCGGTGTACTCTATTTTATTGGTATTTAAGTATTTTTGGTGTGTCAAGTGGCGAAATCACTAGCCTTGTAGTAATTACAGAAATCACTACACGGTGGATTTCTATTTACAAATAATAGATGAAAAATACATTGCATACAGTGAGATACCACTTCATACCTGTTAGGATGGCTGGTTTTATAAACAAAATAACCAGGATGTAGCGAGGTTGGAACCCTTGTGCATTTCTCATGGGAATATAAAATGCTCCAGCTGCTGTGGAAAACAGTTTGGTGGTTCCTCAAAAAGTAGTTAAACATAAAATTATCATAGGTAGAACAATTTCACTCCTAGATATATACCCAAAATAATTTAAAGCAGGGAGTTAAACAGATACTTATATTCCATTATTTACAGTAGTCAAAAGGTGAAAACATGGCACATGCCTGTAATCCCAGCACTTTGGGAGGCCGAGGTGGGTGGATCACCTGAGGTCAGGAGTTTGAGACCAGCCTAACATGGTGAAATCCTGTCTCTATTAAAAAGAGAAAAAACAAATTAGCTTGATGTGGTGGCGGGTGCCTGTAATCCCAGCTACTTGGGAGGCTGAGTCAGGAGAATTGTTTGAACCCAGGAGGCGGAGGTTGCAGTAAGCCAAGATCAGGCCATTGCACTCTAGTCTGGGCTACATGAGTGAAACTCTGTCTCAAAAAAAAAAAAAAAAACTAAAACAAACCAGGTATCTATCAATAAATGAATGGATAAACAAAATATGGTATATACATACAGTGGAATATTCTCCATCCTTTTTTTTTCCTTTGTCACTCTGTCACCCGGTGTGATCCCTACTTACTGCAACCTCCACCTCCTGGGTTCAAGCGATTCTCCTGCTTCAGCTTCTTAAGTAGCTGGGATTACAGGTGCGTGCCACCATGCCTGACTAGGTTTTGTATTTTTAGTAGAGACGGGGTTTCACCATGTTGGTCAGGCTAGTCTTGAACTCCTGACCTCAGGTGATCCATCCGCCTTGGGCTTCCAAAGTGCTGGGATTACAGGTGTGAGCCACCCTCCTGGCCTCAACCATAACAAATTTTAGAACATTTTTCCTCACCCCAAAAAGAAGTCTCATACATTGTATTTTTTGTTTTTATTTTTTAGATGGAATCTCTCTCCATTGCTCTGGCTGGAGTGCAGTGGTGCAATCTTGGCTCACTGCACCCTCCACCTCCTGGGTTCAAGCAGTTCTCTGCCTCAGTCTCCTGAGTAGCTGGGATTATAGGCGTGTGCCACTGTGCCTGGCTAATTTTTGTATTTTTTAGGAGAGATAGGGTTTCACCATGTTGGCCAGGCTGGTCTCGAACTCCTGACCTCAGGTGGTCTGCCCACCTGGGCTTCCCAAAGTGCTGGGATGACAGTCATGAGCCATCGCACCCGACCAAGAATGTCATCTTTTTAAAACATCAATCTGCTCATCATTAAAATAGACAAATAAAATGAGGTACATATATTAACTGATTCAGCAGCCAGAGATCTGTCTGCCTTGGCCTCCCAAAGTGCTGAGATTACAGGTGTAAGCCACTGTATCTAGCCCCCATATACTTTAGCCATCACCCCACCAACACCCTCATTTCCCTCATCTTTAGGCAACTTCTGATCTACTTTAGTCTCTACTGTTTGCCTATTCTGGACATTTCATATAAATGGAATCATATAATATGTGGTCTTTTGCCGCTGGCACTTAGCATGATGTTCTCAAGGTTTATCCATGTTATAAGCATATATCAGTACTTCCTTTCTTTTTTTTTTTTTTTTTTTTTTCCTTTTTCCACTTGTTCTAAACTTCATTTTTTTTTAATTGCCAAATACTATTCCATGGTCTGGAAACACCATTCATTTCTGGATAAACCATTTGTTTATCTGTTCGTCAGTTGATGGACATATAGATTGTTTCCACTCTTTGACTACTATGAATAATGTTGCTATGAACATTTGTGTGTACAAGTTCTATGTGGACCTATGTTTTCATTTCACATAGGAGTAGAATTGCTGGATCATATGGTAGAATTGCTGTTTAACCTTTTGAGGAATTGCCAGCCTGTTTTCCAAAGTGGCTGAACCATTTTACATTCCAACCAGCAGTGTTAATTCCTCTACATCTTTATCAAAACTTACTTGTTTTCTAAAATTATTATAGCCAAACTATTGGTGTG